GTGTCAAGTCCCAGGCTTGATGGGGTTCTGGGCAGCCTGATCTAGTGGGGGATGTCCCTGCCCATGGCGGGGGGTTGGGACTAGATGATCTTTAAGGTCTCTTCCAACCCTGACAATTCTAAGATTCTACAAAAAAGGCTCTGATAATCAGACTGCTTTTTCTTTTTAAAAAAATGGATGCAGCAGTGCAATCAGTTTATTTATTTAACAAAGGTTTCACTGGAAACCTAAACAAAACCACATTAATAATAAATGCTGGCATTATTCGCACTTGGAAAGTCACATTGAATTTTTGAATAAATGGAGAATCAGAAGCAATGCTCTTGTTACTAGCAGACTGCTATTTTTCATGTCTTGAATGCTGTATTAAAATTAAGTTAAAAGAGAACATGGAAAGAGCCGTTGCCACTTCATTGTAATTGAATGTCGAGTCAAAGATTCTCAAATTCTATCAGCTGCTGTTTAACAAGCTAGTTCTTTGTAAACACTTGAAAACAAATTTATCAACAAAACCATGACAAGTAATCTCCACTTCGACTATCGGTCACAGGCAGGTGACAACAGAACCTGATTTCATTAGGTTCAATATATGGGATCTGTATACTGTACACTGTAATTGGAAGCGTGACAAAACTGAGAAGACGGGCATTAATTTATGTAGTTTCCTACTGCTGCCAGAAAAGGGTCAAGAACTTGTTGAAAAGCTTCTCCATAAAAACAAATCCATCAAACTGCAGTTAGCTGTGGCTTTAGGAACTACTACTGCACATTCAGTTACTTTACTGCCCCAAGAGCAGCCAATTCATTGTTATTTTGTTCCATGAACTTTTAATGCACTTCAGAAACATCTCTACAAGATGCATGCTTGAAGCTTGAATCTTCCTCGCTTTGCACATATGCAAAACTCTAATGATGACCAAAAAAAACTATAAAATAAAAGTGTGTGTAAATCATAAACAACTCATCTACAAAGGTCGGTTTCTGGAGGTGAGGGAGAGAAGACATTTTTAGGAACGTCATTTAACTATAAAAATAAAATGAGCTAAGAGGACACAAAGCCACACCGTAGCCACGCTCCATCAGTTTGCATCTGTGAAAAGTACAGCGTGTTCTAACATAAAAAGCTAACAGTTACTAAAATGTATCAAGATTTTGATCATATTCAATTATGCTCTCCAGAAAAGTATTTCTTTGATTTTCACAGAAGTAAACAGCTTTATTTTGTTTCATGGAGGAATGTGACACACTGTAGATTCCATTCCAATTTGTAATACAAGGGAGTTTTGTAACAGTAAGTCCCTCTACAACAGCTGATTGTAGAGAAAAAATAAAGCAAAAAAATAAAACCCAAACCACGGCACAAGAAGAAACTACTTCCTCCAAAATCCACATATTTGTCTCAGACTGTGGAAGGAGAAAAAAATTGCCAATTGGAACTGTTATTTCCTCCAGAAGCATTACAAAGGCATCTGCCCCTACCTGGGATATGTGGATTTAGTGTGGACGTCTACATGCATTATATTTATAGGCCTGCGAGGGACAGCTTTCAGGAAGACTTAGAAAACATATTAAATAGCCACTCGTTTTTGTTATGAATACAATTTGAAAAACAACCTCAAGAGCTTCTTCTATAGTGCATCTCTTAAAATAAGTTTATGATTACTATTGTTAACAGCTTCATACATTCAATAACACCTTCATTCAAAGTGCTAGATAATGAGCATTTAAACGGTTCTTTTTTCAACTATTCACAAGCTTTAACTTGCAAAAGAGCATACAGTGGAGGTAAATTCTGATTTGAACCTTGTTAGATTTTTTTTTTTTTTTGTGGCAACATGCCTTCTCACACTTTATTACCGTATATTTCATTACCTGCTCAAGTGACATAACAGTTCTGTCCAGATCAACTGGTAATATTATCACATGCATAGACGTTCTGGTAATCTATTCTCTATTGTGTTAACATTTTGTGTATTGACCTACAATTTTTTTTTAAATTCTTAGAACAGATGCTCCATAAAGTAAGCATCTCTGATCTCAACAGGACTCTCGTCTCTTTCTCTGCCTTCTTTCTCTTTCCCACAAGGCTGCATTGTTTAGTAAATTTCTGATCTCTTATTATAAAACCATTTAGGTTGGGAAAGACCTTCAAGATTATCAAGTCCAACCACTGACTTAGCAGTGTCAGGCCTGCCACTAAACCACGTCCCTAAGCACAAAATCTGCACATCTTTTAAATACCTCCAAGGATACCACCCCTTCCCTGGGCAGCCTGTTCCAGTGCTTGACAACCCCTTCCGTGAAGAAATTCTTTCTCCTGTCCAAGCCAAACCTCCCCTGGCACAACTTGAGGCCAGTTCCTCTTGTCCTACTGCTTGCTGCATGGGAGAAGAAATCAGTTCCCATCTCACTACAATCTCCTTTCAGGTAGCTGGAGAGAGAGAAGGTCGCCCCTCAGCCTCCTTTTCTCTAGCATAAACAATCCCAGCCGCTCCTTGTAAAACTTATTCTCCAGACACATCACCAGCTTTGCTGCCCTTCTTTGGACCTGCTCCAGTGCCTCAATGTCTCTGTTCTAGCGAGCAGCACAAAACTGAACAGTGTTCGGGGTGCAGCCTCACCAGTGCCAAGTACAGGGACACAATCCCTGCCCGGCTCCTGCTGGCCACGCTTCCCGATACAGGCCAGTATGCCGTTGGCCGTCTTGGCCACCTGGTCCCACTGCTGGCTCATGTTCAGCTGCTGTCCATCAGCACCCTCACGTCTTTTTCCGCCCAGCAGCTTCTCAGCCACCTTTCCCCAGGCCTGTAGCGCTGCCAGAGATTGTTGCGAAGCAAGTGCAGGACCCGGCACTTGGCCTTGTTAAACCTCATACAATTGACCTTGGCCCATCAATTCAACTTGTGTATCTAAACATGCTGAAAATCTTAGGGAGAAATTACTGACAATTTATTTTTTAAACCAGATAATATATATACACTACTTTTTATATTTCAGTGGATCTTTCTACATAGTACATCCATCAAAATACTGACAATGCTTTCCAAAGGCACACTAATATCCATTCAAATCCTTTATTCCATTAAATTTGAACTCATATAAAACAGAGGGCACTACTTCGGAAATCTGTTCTGCAAGCAGAAAGAAAATAAGCAAGACACTCCAATCCAGAAGTCTACTTTATTGTCTTCCAAAGTATTTTCAGGATGAAAGACCAAACTTCTGTGTTTGTTCATTTCAGAGCAAATGACTACCTAAAGCTTCTGTGCAAAGTTTCAATAACGTATCTTTTATAAAGTTAGCAATCAATACAGTTATATTTCTTCCGGATTCAAGACAGGATTTTACATATAGCTGCTCTGAAAGTAGTGCTGAACGACTGAAGGAACCACAAATCAAAAAGTTTTTAATCATGCACTTTTATTACATCTGTAATCTGGAACTGTATTACACACGATTGACTTCTGCAGTCCTGTTGCATCTGCACTACTTGATTTGTATGTATGTCAACAGTTGCCACTGGCAGCTGTCTGCTGCTATCCTGCAGCAGAATATTTCACCTCAGCAGAAAATCCTATCCATTTTAGGTGCATATGTTGCTTTTTAAAGACACCCATAAAGCCTGCAAGGCACATACCTTTTCGTAGTAAACTATTCCATATTCTTTATCATCGCACTTGACACAACGAAATTCAATCATCAGGTACATAAAATTAGAACTTCGTTTTTCCCTCTGAGAAAAGAACCAGCACAGACATGTGTCATACATCGAAATGCATCAATCTTCAACATTCTCAGTACAGCAATTACCCTACTTCCTTTGTACTGTAACTGATTAATTAGATTATCCGTTGTTGTAGATATTATTCAGTTAATCATTTCATAGCACTACTTGAGACCGTATCACCTTCTTCCTGACATTTTTACTTCCTTACATTCCCACTTGACAATAAACATCCATGCTACAGATAAAAAGATATTGCTTTCATCAGTGGTTTGCAACTATGGGTTAAAGGTCTGCAAAAAGGCAATGATAATCAGTTGACAGCTGGGTTTTTGGGTTGGGTTTGTTTTTTTTTTGGTTTTTGGGGGTTTTTTTAAAATTATTAAATACAATTATTCATATGAGTCAAAAAACAGAAGACATCAAAAAAAAAAATCACTGTTTTAGATAGAATCACAAAAGAGGCAAATTTAACCGGGACTACAAGATTAGATTGGCAGTGCATTCATTTTCAGAGGGAGGTATGCTCATGTGTGCATTTTTGAAATGCCTTGCCTAAAAAAGTGCTTAGAATTTTAAAATTTAGGTGAGAAACAAGTGAAGTTTTATGTATCACCACCAAGAGCATATATTTAATACAAAAAATAAGCGTTCCCTTTGATAACAAGCAGTGCAAGTCTGTTTCATGCACTAAGACTGGACTAACTTTCCTGCGCAGTCAACAGGGTTCTGTATTTAAGGCAGAGCTCTAAGAATAAAGAATTTTTAGTTTCCTGTATTTTTACAGAAAGTTAAAAGTTAAAAAAGGAATAAGTTGAGTTCTAAAAACAAAAAAAAACATTTCTAAAAGTTTATAAAATCTTACTCCCAGAGGTCTAATGATAAGTAAGAACAAAAATCTCAGAGCAGAAAATAATGGAGTTTTGTTGTGCAAGACAAGTATATTCAGCTAACAGTTTGGGAGTCATTTTGCTCAATGAGGTTTAACAGCTCCTTCAGGTATTTAACTACCTTTTTTTTTTTGTCAGATTTGTTTCCGGATTTTTTTAATATTCATTCAAACCTTAAAGAGTGTTCTTCCTCAACAAGCAAAATCAAAACCAGTTAAACTGAACTGGTCTAAAACCAAGGAACAGTCTGTATGTCCAGAAAGCTTCCCATCACAGTCTATATCCTAGAGCTTTTAGTCATATGTAGCTATTCCAAATTATTAATAAAGTCTGTCTCCCACGATCACAAGAGGTTCCACTTAAATTTGAGAAGAAACTTCTTCTCAGTGAGGGTGCCAGAGCCCTGGCACAGGCGTCCCAGGTAGGGTGTGTAGTCTCCTGCTCTGGAGACATTCAAACCCCCCCTGGACACGTTCCTGTGTGACCTACTGTAGGTGATCCTGCTCTGGCAGGGGGGCTGGGCTGGATGATCTTTTGAGGTCCCTTCCAATCCCTGGCATACTCTGATACTATGATCAAGTTCACTTGAAGCTGAAAATTTTTAAGACAGATGCTTATTCTTATGGATGAAAACACAACCTGGCAATACGCTCCTTGTTGCCCACAAAGCCCACTGCATCCCGGGCTGCATCAAGAGGAGCACGGTCAGCAGGTCAAGGGAGTGGATTCTGAGCCTCTGCTCTGCCCTGGTGAGACCCCAGCTGTGTCCAGTTCCGGAGTTCTCAGCACAGGAAAAACACGGACTTGTTGGAGTGAGGTCAGAGGAGACCATGATGATTAGAGGGATTGAGCAGCTCTGCTATGAGAGTTGGGGTTGTTCAGCCTGGAGAAAAGGAGGCTCAGGCATGACCATATAACGGCATTTTGGTAATTAAAGGGAGCTTCTAAGGAAGATAGAGACAGACCTTTTAGTATGGTCTCTTGCAATAGCACAAGGAGTAACAGTGTTGAACTGAAATGGGTTGAGCAGGTTGGTCTTTAAGGGTCCCTTCAAACCCAAACCATTCTATGATTTTCATTAGAGCCAAAATAATATCAACTTTGGAAGCTTAAAGAATTATTTTTCATAATACACACTGGTGTTTGAATTTAGACAGGACAAGTGCTTCGAGTTAGTCACCTAAGCAAACATATGTTCCATGTTACCAAGATTAAAAAAAAAAAAAGTTACAAATCTGTTGTACAATGACCTACCTCATTAATCATTTCTATTTCTCTAAAAGTCAGTCTGTCCAGCCAGTCCACTTTCACCATGTGACCTTGCCGATGAGACTTGGTGAGCTGCATGAAAAAAAAAAAAAAAGATACAATACTTAAACTGCTTGGAGCAAGAAAAAGAATATCAAAGTTTTAACAGACACACTAATATGAAATCGGGGGAAAGAAAGGAACTGAAAAAATGCTTGTACAGCACACACACAGTGTATCCTTGCCAACAGCTAAGCCATACAATAAAAGTAATTCTACTATTTGAAACAGCAATCATGCAAAGACCAACACCATATTCTAAGCACATCATCTTTTTATTTTCAACACATTAAAAAGAGAAACCTATTTTTTAAGCAAAGTCACGTAACAAAGACATTTGATTTCTTATTACTAAGTTTCATATAGTACAACTTACCAAAACAAAAGGAAAGAAGGTATATTAAAAATTTTTAATTCTTCCCTCTTTAGCCTCACCCAAACGCGTTTTCAGATGGAGACTGCCACATTGCAAAATGCCAAGCAAAGACTTACAGAGAATCAGAGACCTCCTTCTCCCTTTCTTTTTAGTCATCTGCAAAGTAGTTCAGCTTTTACTCCTATACCTACATATTGCTGCAAAAATAGGAAGGAAGTTGAGTTGTTCAAAGACTACCCTACTGTCAAAGACTGGAAGAGAAGGTAAGAGCCATACTACCATAGTTTCAGATGCACTGACACACAAGAGTTCACGAAAAATTCAGCAAAAGACCACACAAGTATGAAAAAGAATCATCTTTTCGACTCCTAAGAAATCAGAAGTGTTCCTCAAAAAATTAGTAATTCTTGCAGTATATAAGAAGAGATGTAAAGAATAAATAAGTTCTTTCACATCTCAAAGAAATCAGTATCTGCCCAAAAAATGGTTAGCAAAGACACTCTCAAAATTATTCCCATTAAAGGAGTGGTTACAACTACTACACCACCTTTGCTCTGTACCCACTCATGAACAGGCCACACAATCACACCAACTGCTATTTCTCGCCCAGCTGGCAGCTCGCAGGCAGACAACAGAGAGTCCTAGGGACAGCACACGAAGGGAACATGTTGTAAGTAGGATACGTAACAGCTCACTATTTCCACACAGAACTGGAGAAGATGTGACTATAAAAAAAAAGACATAGAAGACTTAACACCTGCTGTATGCTGGGATCTGTCCAAGGTACAGTTTGTCAGACACCTGCACTAGACTTCCAGCAAGTCACCACTATAAATATCAAAATAAACCCCAAAACACATCATTGTGAAGAATAACAGTTAAAGAGTTTGTACCAGTAGTACTGTACCACTATTTTCACTCAAATCCCCAGTAAACCGATGTCTTAGCAGCAAGGGCACAAGTACTATTGCACAGATATCCTATGGCAGATTTCTGTCCACCAAGGATTATCTGGACTAAACACAAACCCCATCACAATGTACTCTGAAAAGAACATCAACTTCATGCCCAGGTACAGATCTCAACAGATCTGGAGAGTACACATGAGAAATTCACAAGATTTTAGACATTATGCAGCCTGCAGACTCAGACAGTGTTTTACGCCTTCTAAGGAGGCAATGCTGACCTAACAGGAAAATAACTGTCTAGTCTCCAAAAGCCTTAACAGCCATTAAAACCATTAATGAAATATCAGTGTTCAGCAGTGTCCCTGCAGATGTTCTTACACCAGTGTAAGTGATCTGTAAGCATTTATTCTTGCCTTTTAACACCTTGATCAACTATCCCTTCATATCCAACAGCACCTTGCTTGCTCATTTTTCATGTCAGCAAGTGACTTCTTGCTGTTTAGGACAATTTCACTGGTATTGTTTTTTCTTATTCACCTCTCCAGAGTTTAATTTTGTATTACAGTCTAATTACACTTAGGGTACTGGTTCCTACCTCTAGAGAGGAAACCAGTCTCCCAACTAATTTAGCTTTCTTGGACACACTTTATGTCAGAAAGAGTTGGAAGACACTACAGTCCACACCACAGCCTCTGCATCCACCTAAGATCTGAAATAAATTAAGGTAGATATTTAAGCATGATATTTAGCTCTGAAGGTCAATACTTGCTCATTTCACAAGCATGTTATCTAATGCAGTTTTTCCAATTCTTCATTCTTACTAAGACTGCTAGTGAAGAGGTTTAAAATTTTCCACTAAATTCTCAACTACAGTGATTGGCTCTACCAAAGTAAAGGACTAATCTAAAGCAGTCACAATTTAAAAAAAACCAAACAAACAAAACAGTCAAAAAGCTACTCAGTTGGGAATGAAACACTGACTTTCTTTTTAAGCTTGATTCCAGATTTGCTAGGAAACAGTCATTTCAAGAAGCACTAAATAGTAAATCAGCCATGAACATCTCATGCCCTTTGTCCTGAACTTGTTTCATGAAACACAAAACCATAATCCTATAACAATTATGAGACTGCTTAAAGCAGCTGATTCTATGATTCACCTAATACTTCTTTAAGCTCTAGACCACAGTGCAGCTTGAGAGAAGTAATAAGATTCTGATGCAAACTTTGGAAGACCACTAGAGTTTCTAAGAATTAATGAGTCAGTTCAGTACACAGCTGGGGCTTTTCTCATTTGTTTTGTCTCCAGTAAACTCCAAGACAGCTAATCTTCAGGTTAGCGTCAATAAACTTCAGAACCTTAACAGTACAAAAGGAAAAGGAACGGCAGGGAAGGCAAAGTATAATCCTTAATAACATTTCAGGATGCTGGATGTAACCAAAGCACAGAAGACAAGTCTTTGGATTTTTTCAGCTTATCAGCAGGATTGTAAACAGGAGCACAACAAAGTAATAATTTTTGCTATCTTGTATTCTGCAATCCTCAAGTTCTATCTCAGCAATATTACAGAGACAGAGCGTGTCAGGACTGTACTAAGAAGATAATAAAAGACCTGGCCTTAGCTTCCTATGTGAGCTTATAATTTATTTCAAAGGTAGAGAGCCATGCAGATCGGTTATAAACCAAAGTGCTATTGCAGACAGGTTGGAAACCCCCAATTCATGCATTCCCAAATACCCTACCTAGTTCAGAGAAAAGGTCTTCTCATTCTCAGCAATGAAGAAGTTTCTCAGCCTTACACTTCCACCACTTCAACCACTTCTAGACTACTCTCTAAATTTTTTTTTAATATAACAAAAATATTTTTTCTGCCTCAAGGTAGCTCTCATATTTCCACTATCTTAAACCAACGCATCAAATTTTCACACTACCACATATTCACATCCAGATATGCAGATTCAGGACAACACTTATCAAAGTCTTGCCAAAAAGTTATTTAGAAACCTTAGTTACAAATTCTTAGTTCATTTTCTTGTTCAGTGCACTAAGAATAAAGAAAAACACCATTCTGAATGTTTTAGAGAAAAATTAACCTCTTAATCTGCAAACTTTCCTTATAGAGGGGAAAAAATTCATAATACAGCAACTAGTTACGTTCTCCCGCATACAAGACCCAGAAGAACTGTAGGCATAGAACCATTTTTCTCGGATTAATATTTAAAACTTAAAACAAGAGAGAAGCTCGTGCATTCTCTTCAGGGAAAGAAGCATTCATTATCTGCTACTAAGTAAGAGGCATCCCTTTAGGTACTATCTCAGTTTTGTTATTACCCAATTATATTCAGCCAGGTATAAGGGAAATGAATGGATCAAAAAGAATTTAAAGACCACTTTTTGTTTAAAAAGTAGAACAAATTAATACACCACTGATGGGAGAAATATCTTAATGTCATTAATGTTTGAGCACACTACAGTATTTCACACTCTTCCTATTAATATTCCTTAGTACAGCAAAAATCTGCATTCACAGTAATCCCAGAATGCAAAGCTGTAGCTTTTTCATCAGGAGCAATTTCACAGGCAACATTCATGTGTTTTTAAGAGCACAACCACATGGCACCTCAACATGAAATGACGCTTGCCACAGTACCAATTATTCAAGGTAAAAGGATGAAACTCCTCCAGCAGCCAGTTATCAATTTTACACAAACTCCCTATAATAATAAATATCACACAACAAAATAAAAAGTTATCTTTCAGACGGAGAAAAGGTCCTTCAGCAAGCTCTTCTCAAAAGCTACTTAGGAATCTAACTTGGCCTCTGGTATCAGACATCAATCGATAGCCTGACACTTATAAGCAGTGTGTCCAATATACAGAGAAAAAAAACCAAGAATAACAAAGTCCACATAGACATATCTTGAATTAATCCTAATCTTTTTATCTCTATTTAAATACACCTTCACATACAGTAGCATCAGGAGGCATTCAGCAACTGATGAGTAAGTTACAGGAAAACTGAAGGTGACTGCGATCCAGTAATGGCTATTTAGAGATGATACATCACAAGAACCTCATCTGCTGTGTAAACAGTTGCACACGTGAAAGCTCGTGTATTCTAAGACTCAAATACTCTATTTGTATTTTTTTGAGCTAAGTAGCATAAAGGAGTGAAGGAACAGGAGAACAAACGCTGGCAGGGTATAGTCATATTTGCATAAACAGAACAAACACAAAAGGGAAGGCCTAGACTCCAAAACCTTTTCTCAGAGACCCTCATGTAACCACCTGACAAATTACAAGTAAGCCTTGATATTCAGTGTCTGCCTGCAGAGCCTCCTTAGGCTGGAGAGGATTTATTCTACTACGATCAAGAAACGGGGCATCATCACTGGCAGAAAGCTTTAATAAGTTTTCTACTATAAATTCAAGGTGAACTAGACTAACAAAAGAGAGACCCTAAATGAAAGTTAGTTTATCGCTGTGATAAATTTCCAGATGGGAAAATGGACATATTTATGGCACTGGACGTACCTTTCACTGGGAGTTGCACAAAGATGAGGATGAAAAATAGGAGGCCAAGGTTAAGAAATGACGCCAAGTAAGTGGTTTGAGCAATTTGGCAAGATTAAGCTAAGCTTATCTGAAGAATGAGAGAGAAAAGCTAGTAAAAGAATTCAAGAACTAATATTTACTGAACAATTTGAGAAGTCGTTTTGATGATAAAAATACACTCTGCCATCAAACTGGGAGAAAAAGATACTAAGATATATGCATATGCAGGAGCTTAAATTAAGGAAATTTTGGTTAATTCTTGCAGTCCTTCTCAAACTTTTTAGAATGCAGAGGTATGTCACAGACAGACACATCTGACCACTGCACCACACAGCCTTAAATCTGAAGGACGGCGACTGAAAGAAACTAGACTGTCCCAAGTTACCGTTAGAAGCTGCACTTATGGAACTTGACAGAATTTTGGCTTCAAGCATCTTCAAGGTACGTTCACACTTTCATTCTTTGCAAAGAAGTTATGATAGAATGCTACGTATATTAAAACGTGTTTAAATGTCCCCTTTCCAAAAAAACTTCAGAAGCAAATGAGTTCAGTCTAGCTTACTCATTTGTACACATACAGCGGAACACAATCCAAGGAAGACAGCTTTCACACAAGAAAACAAGACAGGAAGCCTGTCTCCTTTAAAGCCTGTCTTAATTTCACTCCAGTAGAAGTGCAAGCGTTCCACGTACACCTGCCTTGAAGGTTACTTGCTACTCCATTACCTTTGCCAAGCGGCTCATTTGGTCTTCAGAGACTGTGCTGCTGGTTCGCCCGGGAGTTTTGGTGGGCTCTGAGCCATCAGCTTCAACGTTGGGCCAGACTTTCAAGTCATGCATTCCTTGACGAAACATACTGCAGGGAAAAGTGCAGAATTGCTTCAGTGAATTCAAAACAATGCAGGAATCAAAGTGTAGCAGCAGCTACAAGAAATAGAGGAAGCTTCCTCTGCCAACCTACAAACATGCACCGCCATCATAATTTAACTGAACTGCAGAAGTGCCCTGCACCTTCTGCCCTCTATGGCCTTTATTTTTATTGCTACATGGAGTTTAGAGGAAAATAAATTTGGCAAGTGGAAGAAAAATGGGTGATTCCAAAAGTCACTGCAGTGATACAAACGTAAACTGAGGACAGAGTTTGGTTTTCATAGTTTTATTATTTGCAATGAAGCAGGAAGTATTCCTCTTCACTTGTAAATTATAATACTTTATAATAATACTTTAGGTCTGTCAATCTGAAAAAAATTCAACTAAAAAAGTACCAACTGATTAAAAAAGTAGCCTTCTGAGCTGCCAAATATAAAAAAAAGCCACAAGCTTCAACACACCATTTTCTCCACCTATGCTCGAAATCAAAATAGTAACTGAAACTGTGAACAGAATTTTGCAGGGTAAGGGACCACACTTCTGTGCTGTAAGACTCCACTTCCCTGGTGTATTTGTGCTCATCCATCTATAAAAGAAGACCCAAAAAATCAAGTGCATTGCTTTTGCCAATGAGAGGTGATCACTTAATTCTAACAACTTCAGCTAAATAGGACTGGAAGGAGTACTTTTATAAGTTAAACATTAAAAATGAGAAATACCAACCAGAAGGAGCATCTGAACCTGAATTTACACATCATTGCTACCTCAAGAGTTTCCATTTATAAGCAAACACAACATTTCAAAATTACTTGTTGCCTTCTGTCCATCTGCTTCCCCAAGGACTCACAAGTCAGAAACAAAAAAAGTAAATTCCATTTATAAATTTTACCTTTTTTCCAGGAACTATGTTTTAATGCTTTAAAAACTACCAGCAGTTTTTGAGGCACAGTCCAAGTGGTCCAGTTTAATTTTCTATACTAAGTCTTCATCAATCTTTTTGTCAAAGCAATATCTCCAATGACAGAGATACAACCTCCCTATACAGTAATTTTCTGCACTCAAGTATCACTAGAACAGCTTTTCTAATGGCAACCTAAATTCTTCCTGCCCTTCAGTTTAGCCTTATTACTTCTTATCCACTGACAAAATAAAAAAGGCTATTTCTCCCCATTTTCCAACACTACTCACACATTAGAAAATTCTTCCTATAAATCCCTTCTTCAACCTCACTATTTTTTACTCCTCCTCCATTTGCTACAGACTCTGTCAGACTCTCAGCAGTCAGTACCTTGCATGAAGTCAGTTGTGCTGAACCCAACGTGGCCCAACCAAGGGGACAAGGACAGAGAAGGATGCAACACTGTTGCAAATTTGTAGCCTGCTGAGGAACTCAAATGTTGGTTGTGCATTTCACAAGAGCATCAAGAGCAACCATGCAAAGCTTAAGATTCCCTCTAAAATCCAATTCTTGCAAAGCTGACCCCCAGTCTCTAGAGGACTGATCAAGTGCAACAAGTACTAGTGCCTCACATTTTTCCTTAAACTATCTTTTTTTAACAGTCACCTTCGCACTTAAGTCAAGTTCCTTCTGATGTACAGCCTCCCAACGCAGTTGTCATCCTTCCTAGCTTTGTGTTACCATCCACAAATGTGTCAAACCCACCCTCCATCACATATAATTCATCCACCGAGTTACACTTCATTCCTTATAAACATCACTGCACTAACAGCCCAATGTCAAGTCATTAAATCAATTAAGTAATCACTCCCAGCAACATGCATTACAAAAATAAAAATATGAATTGACTTGCTATCTGAAAATCCAAGCTTACAGATCTAGACAGAAAAGCCTCAATTTTGCCGTTATAAAAGACTGTTTGCTACAACGCTGTAGCTTGTACAAAGCTACATTCAGAAAGAAACAGAGTAAATACTCTAAGTATCTGATTTTCCAAACATAGAACTGCAAACTTACTTATTTTTAAAAAATTAAAAATCTGTCATAAACTGACAGCTACCTTACTATTCACTATTCCAGACTGCTACCCTACTATTCACAAGTGAGCTTCAAACCCGTACCACCGCAGAAAAAGCAATATACCCGTATTTCCCAAAGAGCGAGACAGTCGTTCCTCCCACAGGGACGGCTTTGCCGGGCCCATACACGTCCCAGACGGTCAGAGCCACCTGCGCGTTGCGAGGCAGGTCGGGATACTTCACCGGCAGCTTCAGCCACTCGTTCCAGCTGCAGAGAAACACTTTTCATCAGTCGTAAGGCACCAGAAATCAAGATACTTCATATCAGTTTGTACAACAAGGATTCTCCTGAGAATATGAATTTCTAAAAGCAGATGGGCTGCCTCCCTCTGGTCTTTACCCACCCAAATATTTGTCTTGGGCAGGACTACATGGTGAGAGACCAAAGGAAAAATACTCCAGCAAAGACCAGTCTGTAAACACTATGAACGTGAGCTAGTCCAGGCCCCAGAAGTTATTAAGTAGTGAGCCATGCCCAAGCACACAGGTAATCACTTATTATTATTATTACTAATAACACTAGCACTACACAAAAAGGTTGGCTTTGAACTGTCAAGGCATCACTTAATAGCCATACAGTGACTTGAAGAAATGTAAGTTATTCGAAGATGACAACAGAAAACAAATATTTTTCACATAAATAAAACACAGATTTATTCATATAACTTGATGCCTCAGTAACTAAGAGGAATGTAAGAGAAAAGGCAGTCACTTACTTCCATCTAGTGCTAAAAGCTTTGTAGGAAGTTCTAACTGGAAGAGCGAGAGGCTTCCCTTCTGCAAAGACCTGACAAGTTACATACAAGTCAGAGCAAGTTTCTTGATACAGTCCTGAGAACTTCAGCATGGGATCTTCCAAGAGAGCCTTGTAACTCTTCTGTTCTCTTTTCCCTTCCAGACTTCCTCTGTATGGAAAGAAAAAAGAAAAGAAAAAAATAAAAAAAAGGAGAGGGGGAAGGAAAAAAAAAAAGTAAATAAACTAACATTTATTTTATCCACAGTAAAAACCTACTCTATTTTCACAGCTTATATTTGGATTATCCCGTACTGAGGCTGTTACTGGTACTGAGTATCCAACACTCTGCATTACTACCAAGCAGTGAAACCTAAATATCAGAGAAGATGTGATAAACAAATACATTTATCATTTATTGCTGTACTGATTGGGGGAGGGGGGGGGGACAGACAGGAAAGAGAAGAATTATTTGTCTTTTTGATAGAGAACTTGCTATAGTATAACCTGTAGACTCTCAGTATCAAGTGAGGCACCTTCTAAGCAGGGTAACAATAAGATAACATATGCTGCTAAAAAAAAAAACAACAGCAAAACAAAACTCCGATAACATATACAAATAGTATTTTTGGGGAAAAAAATGTTAAAAAGCACCTTATTTTTAAGCTGTTTAAAATGCAAAATGTATGGCTGGCTTTGGATACCAATCCTCTCTCAAATCAACAACAAATCAAAGCTCAACTAAGGAGGTCCTGCTGGCAACGGGAAAACATGCAAGGTTAATCTTCCAGCAAAGAAAACTCAATTAGTACCACAAAAACACTTCAGAGTAGGTGAAGAAGTTTCCTGCAAGAAACCAGCACGTTCCAGGACAACATACACACACATAAATAGCTATATTTTTGTCTGGCAGAATCATAGAATCGTAGAACAATTCAGGT